TCATTTCAATCTTGACAGAAAGTTTTCTGAATCATGCTTCTGGTGTTTTTCAATTATATAGACATGAGTACCTTTATGGTTCTGGTATTTTAATGGATGGTCTTTATCATTTCAATCTTGACAGAAAGTTTTCTGAATCACTTTTTAATGTTGAGAATAGTGTGGGAATTAAACGTAGTGCACCCGATAATGAAAGTTCTGCTTTATTGTGGCATCAAAGATTAGGTCACATATCCAAAGAAAGGTTAATGAGGTTGATGAAAAGTGACATTCTACCTCATTTGGATTTCAGTGACTTAGGAGTGTGTATTGACTGTATAAAAGGAAAACAGACTAAACATACATCAAAGAAATCAGCCACAAGAAACACTCAGCTTATTGAGTTGATTCTCACTGATATCTGTGGACCTTTTGATATCCCTTCATGGGGTGGAGAAAGGTACTTTATCACCTTCATTGATGATTATTCACGTTATGGTTATGTTTATCTACTGCATGATAAATCTCAATCTGTGAACATCCTTGAAGTGTTCATTAATGAAGTTGAGAGGCAGTTAGATAAAAAGGTTAAAGTTGTGAGATCTGATAGAGGTGGTGAGTATTATGGTAAATACGATGAAAGTGGACAATGTCCAGGTCCATTTGCAAAATTTCTCGAAAGTAGGGGCATTTGTGCACAATATACAATGCCTGGTACACCTCAACAGAATGGTGTAGCTGAAAGGCGGAATCGTACATTAATGAACATGGTTAGGAACATGATATGTAATAGCTCTTTACCTCTTTCACTGTGGATGCATGCATTAAAGACGACAACATATTTGCTAAATCGGATTCCTAGTAAAGCAGTCACTGAAACACCTTATGAATTGTGGATGGGGAGGAAACCGAGTTTGAGACACTTACATGTTTGGGGTTGTCAAGCAGAAGTAAGAGTATATAATCCACATGAAAAGAAACTTGATCCTAGGACAGTCAGTGGATTCTTCCTTGGCTATCCAGAAAAGTCTAAAGGATTTATATTTTATTGTCCTAACCATTGTACGAGAATTGTAGAGGCTGGCAATGCAAGGTTCATAGAAAATGGTCAAATCAGTGGGAGTGTTAAACCACACAAGGTGGACATTGAAGAGATTCAGGATAATGTTTTAACACCTGATATCCCTTCTACAGTTATTGTTCCTCAAGTCACATCAATGTCACGTGATATTTTGGTACAACAGAGGAATGTCCAAAACCCACATAATGAAGATATACCCGATGAACCAGTCACAACACAAGAAGAGTTTAATGAACCACAAGTTATACTGAGATGGTCTGAAAGGGAGAAAAGATCCGCTATCTCAGATGACTACATAGTTTATACTCTTGAACATGAATGTGACTTAAGCATTGATGATGATCCATTCTCATTTAAGCAAGCCATGAATAGTAGTAATTCTGAAAAGTGGTTTGATGCCATGAAAGATAAATTAAAGTCAATGGATGACAATAAAGTTTGGGACTTAGTTGATTTACCGAATGGGTCAAAGAGAGTTGGTTGTAGATGGGTCTTTAAGACTAAGCGTGACTCAAGTGGTAATATCGAAAGGTATAAGGCCCGACTTGTTGCTAAAGGTTACATCCAGAAAGATGGCATCGACTATAAAGAAACTTTCTCTCCGGTGTCTAAGAAAGATTCTTTAAGAATTGTTTTGGCTTTGGTGGCTCATTATGACTTAGAGCTTCACCAAATGGATGTAAAGACCGCCTTTTTGAATGGTGATTTAGAGGAAGAAGTCTATATGGACCAACCTAAAGGTTTTAAAGCCACAGGAAATGATAATTTGGTGTGTAAGCTGAGAAAGTCAATATACAGACTGAAACAAGCTTCCCGACAATGGTATCTTAAATTCAATGATACCATTACATCTTATGGTTTTATAGAGAATATTGTTGATCGATGTATCTATATGAAAGTTAGTGGGAGCAAGTATGTGATTTTGGTCTTGTATGTTGATGATATTCTACTTGCTGCAAATGACATTGGGATGTTACATGACGTAAAGAAGTTTCTCTCTAAGAACTTTGAGATGAAAGATATGGGTGAGGCGTCCTATGTGATTGGAATAGAAATATTCCGTGATAGACCACAAGGATTGTTAGGATTGTCTCAGAAAAGTTACATTAATAAGATCTTAGAGAGATTCAGAATGGGTGAATGCTCTGCAGGGATAGTTCCGATTCAGAAAGGGGACAAGTTCAGTAATATGCAATGTCCAAAGAACGAATTGGAACGAAAAGAAATGGAAAGTATTCCCTATGCATCAGTGGTTGGGAGTTTGATGTATGCTCAGACGTGTACACGGCCAGATATCAGTTTTGCTATTGGAATGTTGGGCCGATACCAGAGCAATCCCGGAATAGACCACTGGAAAGCTGCAAAGAAAGTTCTAAGGTACTTGCAAGGCACCAAAGAACACATGCTTACATATAGAAGAAATGACAACTTGGAAGTCATTGGGTATTCAGATTCCAATTTTGCCGGATGCGTTGATACCAGAAAGTCGACTTTCAGTTATTTGTTCCTATTAGCCGGAGGAGCAGTGTCATGGAGAAGTGGAAAGCAGTCTGTCATCGCTGCTTCTACTATGGAAGCTGAATTTGTAGCATGCTTTGAGGCTACAGTTCATGGATTATGGATGCGGAACTTTATCTCAGGGCTTGGAATTGTCGACTCTATAGCCAGACCGCTGAGAATTTATTGTGATAATTTCGCAGCTATCTTCTTCTCAAAGAACGACAAATACTCTAAAGGTGCTAAGCACATGGAGATAAAATACTTAGCTGTCAAAGAAGAAGTGCAGAAACGAAGAGTGTCATTCGAGCATATCAGTATCGATCTTATGATAGCGGATCCGTTGATTAAGGGACTATCGCCTAAGACATTTAAGGGACATGTCTAACGGATGGGCATTATTGATAAATCCTTGCTTTAATGATTATTTCGGAGAATGTTTTGCTCATTATATTTATGATTATGACATTTTGAATTCAATTAAAGTATTGTTTCTGCAATTATTAGGCATGTTATCATTATGTCATTTGTGTACACATATTGTTAAGTAAGATAACGTGCATAATGATATAATCCCTAGGTCATAAAATATGTTGGATGATAATTGATTGTGATACATGGAAGGGATCATATTAAAAGTGATGTGTAACCGCCATGATTCATCGATTGTTATTCAAATGAAAGTAATCGATGATAGATGAATCTAATGTAAAGTTGCGCGCTTAAAGTTTATTAGATCATCAATTCATCACATGGGCCAAGTGGGAGAATGTAAGAAATAAATTATTATGTGGCTCATGTAATTTGGGTTTTCGGGTTTTAATATTAATATGGTTCTTTGATGGATAAGAACTCATTAAAGAATTAAGGCCCAGGGGTATTATTGGAAGTCCCCTCTCTCCTTACCTTAATACAACTAGGGTTTTCGCACCCTATAAAAGGAACATTATGGTTCATTATTTCTGTCCATCAAGAAAAAAACTTATAGTACGGGAGAAAGGAGAGAAAACCCTAGAAGACTTTTGGTTCTTAAAGTTATTCCGCTGCAATTCATGGATTCAGGTATGGTTTTCTGATCTATGTTTTATTGATTGTTTTGTGTGAATTATATAAAGCCAGATCCAGTTTATCGTTTGGGTTTTCATAAAGCAAATCCCTGAAAACCTGAAATTATCTTATCTGTGGACCTTTTGATATCCCTTCATGGGGTGGAGAAAGGTACTTTATCACCTTCATTGATGATTATTCACGTTATGGTTATGTTTATCTACTGCATGATAAATCTCAATCTGTGAACGTCCTTGAAGTGTTCATTAATGAAATTGAGAGGCAATTAGATAAACATGTTAAAGTTGTGAGATCTGATAGAAATGGTGAGTATTATGGTAAATACGATGAAAGTGGACAATGTTCAGGTCCATTTGCAAAATTTCTCGAAAGTAGGGGCATTTGTGCACAGTATACAATGTCCGGTTCACCTCAACAGAATGGTGTAGCTGAAAGGCGGAATCGTACATTAATGAACATGGTTAGGAGCATGATTCATCTTACTCCTATAAAACCGACACCCAATAAAAAGACAAAATTAAATCTATCAATCTGCTAGTGAAGTCACTTTAAGGTATCAATCGGGCAGATCCAGTCCAATCCGATCCGAGTCCGCACTCAGTCTGAAGGTTTCGAGTTCGAGCTCAGACCGGTCTGATTTTTTTTAAGTCTAATTAGTTAAGCCCAAAGTCTGACCCTATATATCGGGCTTAGATTGAGCCGGTCCGCATAAATCCCTTTGTAAATCTTATTATTTTTCTTTTTTCTTTTTAAATATTGGACTTTCGGATCGACCCGACTCGAATTCAAAGTCCGATTTGAGCCCGACCCAAGAGCACGATTTTTTCGGGACGAAAAACGTAGACCCGAAATCCCCTAATTTTGGGGCTGGACCAGATCGAGCTTCGGATCTCGGGCCCAAATCGACACTTACCCATCCAATCTGCGATTTTTTATATTTTGATTGGTTATTAATAAATTATTATAATTTTTTTTAAAATAAAATAAACAAATGAGTAATAATAATAAAAAAATTATAAAAAATAAAATATAATTATTTTTAATAAAAATTATTGATATTTTAAATGTTATTTATAGATTTATAAAATCGCAATGAGATTTATTTTAAATTAGAAAATATAATAATAAGAAAATTATGATAAAACATAAAAAAAGCTTATATTAGTTATGTTATTTTTCTCTTTATCAAATAAAAAATCTAAAAATTCATACCAACAAATATTACAATAAGATAATCAATAAAAATAACTCGTAAATCATATACTCTTATATAAAATACTTGTTATATGTATATACATACATATATATTACATATTGTCATCAATGACTGAAACCATTTTTTGGACTTCCAGAAGTTCTTCAGTTAGCCTAATATATATAATTAACCAAAATAACCCGCTAATCGCCGTGATTACCATAAATGCCCTCCATTTTTTTCCCCTTTATAAACTCCCCCGAAATGTTTCCACGAGCTAAGAACAAAGAAAGAAAAAAATCTCATACTGATTTCTCCAGAAATCGAGAAGATGAATACGATCGAAGCTCCCAAGGCAAGGCAACTCCATGATCCGATCTCTTCGTTCTCCGAATCGAATTCTGTTTTTTTATTAGAATCTTTTTTTTTGCAGAAGAAATTGGATGCTGAACCTCATTACCGGAGCGTGGGTCTGATAATCGGGGTCACCGGGATCGTCGGGAACAGCCTCGCCGGAATTCTCCCTCTCTCCGACACTTCCGGGGGTCCTTGGAAAGTCTACGGCGTAGCTCGCCGACCCCGACCGGACTGGACCACCGACCAACAGATCCAGTACATTCAGTGCGATGTCTCCGACGCCATTGATGTCCGAACGAAGCTCTCTCCCCTCACCGACGTGACCCACATCTTCTACGTCACCTGGACGAACCGCGAAACCGAGTCCGAGAACTGTTCGGCCAACGCCGCCATGCTCAGAAACGTCCTCCGTGCGGTTGTGCCTCACGCGCCGAATCTCCGGCACGTTTGCCTCCAGACAGGGACGAAGCACTATGCGGGCCCCTTCGACAACGTGGCAGGAAGGTCCTTTCACGATTCTCCGTTCACGGAGGATCTGCCGAGGCTGTCGCTTCGGAACTTCTACTACGATCAAGAAGACGTCCTGTTCGAGGAGGTGGAGAAGAAGGAAGGGCTGACATGGTCCGTACACCGACCGAACCGGATCTTCGGGTTCTCTCCGTACAGTCTGATCAATATGGTCGGATCTCTGTGCGTTTACGCCGCAATCTGCAAACACGAAGGGTCGCCATTGATGTTCCCTGGAAGCAAGGCTGCATGGGAAGGATTCACCGTCGCATCCGACGCGGATCTGGTGGCGGAGCAGGAGATTTGGGCAGCGACGGATCCGTACGCGAAGAACAAAGCTTTCAACTGCAACAATGGAGACGTCTTCAAGTGGAAGCATCTATGGAAGATTCTTGCGGAGAAGTTCGAGATCGAAGAGTATGGATTCGAGGAGGAAGAAGGGAGGGAGAAGGTGGGATTGGTGAAGATGATGGAAGGGAAAGATAGAGTATGGGGAGAGATAGTGAAGGAGAAAGACTTGGAGAAGACGAAGATGGAGGAAATGGGAGAGTGGTGGGTTGTGGATCTGATACTTAGAGTGGAAGGAATGGTAGATTGCATGAACAAGAGCAAGGAACATGGCTTCCTAGCTTTCAGGAACTCCACCAAGTCTTTCGCCTACTGGATCGACAAGTACAGGGCCCACAAGATCGTCCCTTGATTCGGTCGGACCAAACCCAAAAACTCGGTATCCTTGGCAAACCGAACCGTCGAAACATCTCAAACCCTATCTTATAACCAAATAAAATATTTAAAAACTCAAAATCCCCTAAAACTTAGGTGTTGAATTGCAAAGAGTTTTGGGAGTTTTTGGATTTTAAAAACTCAAAAAATTATCAATCAAGTTTTTTAAATCTGGTTTCCAAAACCAGGAAAACCACTTTATGGAAAAAATTGAACTACAAACTAAAAGCTATATTTTTTTGGAATTTGGACCCATTTTCTCCCCAATTTGTTAAAACCTTTATAAACAACTCCCTACCCTGTCTTTTCTTTCAATTTTGACACTGTCATAAAAATTTATCATCGAAAACACTGTTAATATAATTCAAAAAAAGATGATATACATTAATATCAATAATACTAATTCTATTTGAATTCATCTTGAAAATCCAAAATAAAATTTATGATACTGAAAACACACAACGTGATTAATGCAACGGGCTATATTACCCACTTTAAAAATAAATTATCAATGAAAATGACATCAAGCAACATGTTGTCTAAACATCAGAGATATCATTTTCAAAATTTGTTTTCGACGTATTATAAACCATGTTTATGGAAAAAAAATATAATTTAAAATTAAATGTTGTCGTGGAATTTAGATGATAAACAAGTCGATGACTTCTTTAGGTATTTATTCTATATTCATGACTTTATTTCGATATAGAGATAAATAAAAAAAATATTTTCTTTTGATTATTATCTTGGTCTGTTTTTATAGATTTTAGAAAATTTTCTTTGTATTCTCTCTTATACGGTTTATTTTTCGCTTCATAATGTTTCGCTTTCAAATTTTAAAAAGGAAAAATCGGTATTATAATGCTTTCTCCTTTCTTTCATAATTTGCAAAATTTATAAATTGATATTGGCCACCAGATTCCTCCAATTTCTCAGTGGAAACACATGGGACCCAAAAAAAAAACACGTGGGGAATGGGCAAGGCCCAAATGTTACAATTGTCATAATAATTGGGCCTGAAATTTAATTTGGGCCTTAGGCTTTTAAATGGGTCAATATATTATGTTGGGTCTAAAAAAAAATATGACCGTTCGGACAAATCTCTCTCAGAAGTTGGAGCGTGTTCATCTAAGCTATTCTCAGGCTAAATCTTGGGGGTTAGAGATTTGCAGTGTAGAAGAAAATGATGGAGGATTCGGAGAACGGAAGTGCGAGTCCGACGAAGGACTTGAATGGGAGGAGTTTTTCCCGTTTTTAGAAATTAAAAACCCAAAAATTTCACAGTCAAGATTTTTTTATTTTAGTTTTCCTAAAAACCCACTAAGCCACTTTTGGAGGAAAGCTACATAAAAACTAAAAACCAATATTTTGTAGATTTCAGGAGATTGTTAGTAGATTTTTTATTTTTTATTAAAAAATAATTATATAAATTATCCTAAAGACAAAAATGTCCATCGTTTTAAAAATAATTTCACATTATACCTATGTCTATATAAATACCACATTCTTACCATTTTTACCATAACTCATATTTGAAAAAGTTTTTATAAAAGAACAAACTTACAAGAGATATGTATTTCAAAATCTTTATTCAAAATATATATTATAGTGATGCAACAAATGAAAATGATTCATCGGATGATGAAAATGACGAAGAAAGCCAGAACGATGCTTCGATTAGGTATATGGAAAGAATTCGAGATAAAATTGCAGCGACATTATAGAATTCTCGATATTGATTTTTTTATTATTGTTGTTACTAATATTAATAAATATGATTTTTGTTTTAAATAAATACCATTTTTGGTAATTTTTAAATATAAAATCTAAAACCAAAAGCTAAAATATTATTTTTACCAATCAAGTTTTCTAAAAACTGTAAAAACTATAAAAGCCAAAAGCCAAAAATCAAAAACTAAAAACCAAAAACCAAAAACTAAAGCCAAAAACCCAAAATAAAAACTACTCACATTCAACCCCTAAATCCAAAAACTCAAAATAAAAACTCCATCCATTCAACACCTTAGTGATAAAATATATATTTTTCTTAATAAAAAAAGAAACCATATTAAACCGAGGCGAAACAATATAATAACCGAATGGTATTGATTTTTCTAGAATTGAATATTCTAAACCGAATAAATATCATAGCGAAACTGAACTGAATATCGAAATGATCTACCTATAAGAAAACCTTCTTAGAAAATATGAAATGTTTCAAAAATGTTATATATATATATATATATATATATATATTATATTTCATGATACATCAATAGATTGCATCAGTATTTGTTGGGATTTTTAGAGTAAATGAATGGAAATTTAGAATCTCTCAAAAGGATTCATGTTTCACGTGTATTACAAGTATGATGGAGGAGTTAAATCTTGTAAAAGACGTGATATGAATTGGCTAAGTGTTAAGGATACGTCGAAAGAGTTTACGTTTGGTTTTGAACGTGAAAAGTGATCTCAGAAAAAATGGGAGGGCAGCTCGAAAATATGAGATGACAGCCTGTTTTTTCTGAGGAATAAAGCTCATAAATAAATGGGCGGTAGCTCGGAAAAACCGGGAGGGCAGCCTGTTTTTTCTGAGCAATTCGGAAATAAACGGGCGGATAGCTCGACAAAACAGGCGGGCAGCCCGTTTTTCTTAGCAGTTCGGATTGAGCGAAAAAACGCGACCGTTGGGGAAAAACTTCCGATTTCTTCACACCTTTTGACATTTGGAGTGTTGATTAACACCCCTGGACATCCTAACACGAGATAGAACAGATCTAATTCGTTTTTTGAGAGATTTGAGAGCACTTTTGTGGTTGTTCTTGCAAAACACCCACAAAAGCCTTTTGTTCATCTTCTTCTTGCAATTTTTTGTGTTTGTGTTCTTAATAGAGCAAACTAAGATCACTTCTCTCTTCATTGTATCTCAAAGACGTATTCCGGAAAGTCCTTTGCTCATATAGGACGGAATAACATTTGTAGGAAAGTGTTTCACGCCTTGAAGAGTTATCCGGTTCCTATTTACTTTTTTGTTATTGTTCTTCTTTTTATATCCCAGATCTCCAACAGTATTCATTATTTAGATTTTATAAATATATTCGAGTGGGGTCGGTTCGATTATGTCTAACTAAAATATAAGCAAATAATAACTAAATAAAAATTTGGTTTGATTCGATTCAGTTAAACAAATTTTGGAACATTGTTGAAAAAATTATTAAAGACCTCACTTTAGTTATAAAACCTAGTTATAAAATTATATAAACAAACTCATTATAATAATTTTTCTAATTATATATAATATGTATTGTATATCAAGGAATTATATATGAATGGATTATACATGGATGGATGAACAGTTAACTCCAGATTCAGTTATTTGGGTTTAGTTTATTTGGTTAATTCGTATTCGATTATTTTAGATTTTAAAAATTTATAACCAAATCGTTATTTACTTTTAATCGATTCGTATCAATTTAGATTTAAATCGGTTTGGTATAAATCGATTTAGATTTAAACCGACCCGATTGCCAACTCGAGTGGCTGGCTACATTATAAAAAAAACCGCCGGCTCCCTGACAAATGATTTAAAGGTTCTATCAATTTGGTAATGGGCTTGGCCCATTTACTTAGTCACATTTATTAGCCAATAGTTTCTTGGGCTTATATAACTTTTTAACACTTTTAACATTTTCATAGGCCCACGGATATATATACACACGCATATACACACCATCACAATTTACAAGCAATGCATAGATGCATATATATATATATATATATATATAGTAATAATAATAATGTTTGTATGTTAACGTATCTTCGCTTATTTTACACCCCGCGAACATTTTTTTTTTAAAGATTTGAAATATGGCCACCAATACCAATTAAATTAGGTTGTCCATTATGTAAAAACCTTATATTGATGGTTTTCGATAACTTTATGAAAACTCACCAAAAACTGGATACGGTTTTTGCATAATTCACACAATTCGAAATTAATATACATATCGGATAAGAATTATACCTGAATCCATTTTGCAGCGGAATGACTTTGAAGAATAATTCGGTAAATCGGTTTTTCTCTCCTTTCACCCTTACTTTGATAATTTTTCTGATGGATGAAAAATGTGAATCAAGATCATATATTTATAGGGTAAGAAGAGATGGATTACCATGCATACCAATGGACATTCAAACTTAATTAGCTCATATCCATCAATGAGCTCAAAATAATATGAAGTCCAAAACCCAAAATTCCATGGGTCAATTTTATATTTCCAACATTCTCCCACTTGGCCCTTGTGATGATTTGATGATCTACAATCTTTAAAACGCGTAATTTTATATTGTATTCATCTATCACCGATAACTTTTATTTGAACAACAAACAATTGAATCTTGGCGGTCACACATCATTTTATTTGAATATGATTCCTTCCAAGTATCACAAGCGTTTGTCATCCAAAACCTCTTTTATGGCCAGAAGTAACTATAGAACAATAATGCATATTATCTTTATCAACTTCATATGTACACAAATAATTTAATGATAATATGACTTTCAATAACAGAAACAAGACTTTATTGAATTCAAGATATCATATATAATGAGCAATTATTTAAATTACAGCAACGACTTATCTATAATGCCCATACGATCAACATGAGCATTAAAAGTCTTAGGCGGCAGTCCCTTAGTTAATGGATCCGCTATCATAAAATCAGTACTGATATGCTCAAATGATACTCTTTGTTTCTGCACTTCTTCTTTGACAGATAAGTATTTTATCTCCATATGCTTAGCACCTTTCGAGTACTTATCATTTTTCGAGAAGAAGATAGCTGCGGAATTATCACAGTAAATTCTCAGCGGCCTAGCTATAGTGTCGACAATCCTAAGCCCTGAGATAAAGTTCCGCATCCATAAACTGTGAACGGTAGCTTCAAAACATGCTACAAACTCAGCTTCCATGGTGGAAGCAGCGATGACAGACTGCTTTCCACTCCTCCATGATACTGCTCCTCCGGCAAGTAGAAACAAATATCCAAAAGTCGATTTTCTGGTATCAACACATCCAGCATAATCTGAATCTGAATAACCAATGACTTCCAGATGATTTGATCTTCTGTATGTGAGCATATAATCTTTGGTGCCTTGCAAGTACCTTAGAACTTTCTTTGCAGCTTTCCAGTGATTCATTCCAGGATTACTCTGGTACCGACCTAACATTCCAACAGCAAAGCTGATATCTGGTCGAGTACACGTTTGAGCATACATTAAACTCCCAACCACTGATGCATAAGGAATATTTTCCATTTCCTTTCGTTCTAATTCATTTTTCGGACATTGTAAATTACTGAACTTGTCCCCTTTCTGAATTGGAACCTTTCCTGCAGAGCATTTATCCATTCTGAATCTTTCTAAGATTTTGTTGATATACCCTTTCTGAGACAATCCTAACAATCCTTGTGATCTATTTCGGAATATTTCTATTCCTATCACATAGGATGCCTCACCCATATCTTTCATATCAAAATTCTTAGAAAGAAACACTTTTACATCATGTAAAATTCCCATGTCATTTGCAGCAAGTAAAATATCATCAACGTATAAGACTAAAATCGCATACTTACTTCCACTAACCTTCATGTAGATACATCGATCAACGATATTTTCTACGAAACCATAAGATGTAATGGTATTATTAAATTTAAGATACCATTTTCGGAAAGCTTGTTTTAGTCCATAAATTGATTTTCTCAGCTTACACACTAAATTTTCTTTTCCCGTGGGTATAAATCCTTCGGGTTGATCCATATATACTTGTTCCTCTATATCACCATTCAAAAAAGCGGTTTTAACATCCATTTGATGAAGCTCTAAATCATAATGAGCAACTAAAGCCAATATAATTCTCAAAGAGTCTTTCTTAGAAACCGGAGAGAAAGTCTCTTTATAGTCTGTGCCTTCCTTTTGGGTATAACCTTTGGCAACAAGTCGGGCTTTATACCTTTCGATATTACCACGTGAGTCAAGCTTGGTCTTAAAGACCCATTTACAGCCGACTTTCTTTGCACCTTCCGGTAAATCTACTAAGTCCCAGACATTATTATCGTTCATGGATTTTAATTCTTCTTTCATGGCATCAAACCATTTTCCAGAATTACAACTATTCATGGCTTGTTGAAATGTAGACGGATCATTATCAATGCTTAAGTCACATTCATGTTCTAGAGAATAAACCACATAATCATCTGAGATTGCAGATCTCCTTTCCCTTTCAGATCGTCTCAAGATGATCGGTGGTTCATTAATCTCCTCTGGTACCGTGACTGGTTCATTAATAATGCTTTCATTATGTGGGTTTTCGACATGCTGTTGTTGTACTCGAATATCACGAGACGTTGATGTGAATTTCGGTACAAGAACAACAGAAGGGATATCCGGTGTGAAAACATTATCCCGAATCTCTTCTATGCCAACTTTTCGTGATTCATCACTCCCACTGATTTGACCATTTTCAATGAACCTTGCATTGCCAGTCTCCATAATTCTCGTACTATGGTTAGGACAATAAAATATAAATCCTTTAGACTTTTCTGGATAACCAATGAAAAATCCACTGATTGTCCTAGGATCAAGCTTCTTTTCGTGTGGATTGTATACTCTTATTTCTGCTTGGCAACCCCAAACATGCAGGTGCCTTAAACTCGGTTTCCTTCCTGTCCACAGTTCATAAGGTGTTTTAGGGATTGCTTTGCTAGGAACACGATTAAGCAGATAAGTTGATGTTTTTAATGCATACATCCACAATGAGAGAGGTAAAGAGCTATTACTTATCATGCTCCTAACCATATTCATTAATGTACGATTCCGCCTTTCTGCTACACCATTTTGTTGCGGTGTACCGGGCATTGTGTATTGTGCACAAATACCCTTAGTTTCGAGGAATTTCGCAAATGGACCTGGACACTGTCCAATCTCATTATATTTTCCATAATACTCTCCACCTCTATCAGATCTCACAACTTTAACCTTTTTCTCTAACTGCCTCTCAACCTCATTGATGAACACTTCAAGTATGTTCACAGATTGAGATTTATCATGCAGAAGATAAGTATAACCATAACGTGAGTAATCATCGATAAAAGTAATAAAGTACCTTTCTCCACCCCACGTGGAAATATCAAAAAGTCCACAAATATCAGTGTGAATTAATTCTAGAAGCTGAGTGCTTCTTGTGGCCGCTTTCTTTACAGTATGTTTTGTCTGCTTTCCTTTGATGCAGTCTATACATACTCCTAAGTCACTAAAATCCAAAGATGGTAAAATTTCATTCTTCACCAATCTTATTAACCTTTCTTTGGATATATGACCTAATCTTTGATGCCACAATAAAGCCGAACTTTCATTGTTAGGTGCACTACGTTTAACGCCCATAATATTTTCAACATTAAACAAGGATTCTGAAAACTTTCTATCAAGATTAAAGCGATAAAGACCATCCATTAAAATACCAGAACCGAAAATGTGTTCATGTTTATGTAATTGAAAATTACCAGAACCGAACTTAACAGAAAAACCCATCAAGTCTAATTTTCCAATAGAAACAAGATTTCTTGCACATTCAGGAACATAAAGACATCCTTCAAGAGCTATGTGAAAGCCGGTGTCTGAGACCAATATATAAGTCCCAATGCCTTCTATCCGAATTTCTTGCACATTCAGGAACATAAAGACATCCTTCAAGAGCTATGTGAAAGCCGGTGTCTGAGACCAATATATAAGTCCCAATGCCTTCTATCCGAGCTTTCATCTTATTCCCCATGACCACATGCCGTTCAGGTCCTTTTATGGTTTGGATCATACTGAATCCCTGTTTAATATGAGAAACGTGAGTAGTAGCACCTGAATCTAACCACCAAGTATTATTAGGAACTTCAATAACATTCGATTCAAAGCAAACTAAAATATTATGTTTACCTTTACTTTCGAACCATTCCTTCCTTTTCTGACAATCTTTCTTAATGTGTCCAGTCTTTTTACAGAAAAAACACTTGACTTCTTTCCGGACTCGGCTCACATTATCTTTTGTTGGAGCCTTATCCTTCCTTTTGTCATTCTTCCCTGGTTTTCTTTTATTGCTGCCGGCATTAGTTTGAACTGTAAGATGGACAGAATGTTCTTTCACCTTCTTTAATCTCCCTTCCTCCTGTATGAGCATGGCCTTCAACTCCTGAAAATTCCATTTTTCCTTGATGGTGTTATAATTCACCTGGAACTGGCCAAACTCAACAGGGAGAGAGTTAATGATGAACTGGACTAGAAATGTCTCATTAACATCCATTCCCATAGCTTTCAACTTTGCCGCCATATTAGACATGTTAGTCACATGATCATGGATAGGCTGAGACCAGTCAAACTTTTTCGTAGTTAGCTCACTCATGAGACCTCCTACAATCGACTTGTCAGCCAGATCCGACTGAGAATACTCTTTAATCTTTTGCAGAAATTCCTTTGCACTTTCAGTTTTAGGCATCGATGGCTTAACACTTTCTGCCATAGTGATCCTCATCAAGTTCAAACACAGCCTATTTGATCGCCCCCAGGATTCGAAGTTAATCCTGTCATTTTCTGAGCTTTCATCTGTTATGGCTGTTGGCTTTTCATTCAACAATGCATAATCCATATCATTGAAACCCAAATAAAATTGGATCTGTTCAGACCAGTCTGCATAGTTAAGCCCGTTGAACTTAACAATTCCATTGCCAGAAGCCATAAAGTTAAGTGAAGCTGAAATTTTATATACAATTAAAACATGCGTATTTGGTTTGAATATTTATTTTAATTTAAACTAAGTCACTTTGGTGACTAACAAGTTTAAAATATAAAACAAATAAAAATATTTTTAACCTCCATATAACATGTATCCACATAGTTAATTTCATAAAGTATATAAACTATTATCCATACAAATTACTATATGGTATATTAATGCATAATATATATACTTATATGAAGATACAATAATAATAATAATACATATTGATATGTATTATAAAACATAGAAGTTATCAATATTAATATTTCACTATAAATTTATTAATTTATTTGAAACCATCTTTATTGTTCAATTTTAGAACTCGCATTTGATATAATTAAAATGATCTTTAATATAGTTAATATTTGCATGATATTTTATAACTTTATGTTAACTTTTCATACACGTACGTATTTGTACTCATATATTCAAGATATATATATATATATATATTGCTATTATTATATATCAAATACGAATATTCATATATACTAATTCATATATATATATATACCCACTTTAATTTATATTACTATAATCTTTGATGACACATAAAAAAATGTATCAATATATTACACATATTAAAATTTCGAAACTATAATCGATGAATTATGATAAAACAAAACACAAGCTCTGATACCAAATGTAAAAACTTTATATTGATGGTTTTCGATAACTTTATGAAAACTCACCAAAAACTGGATACGGTTTTTGCATAATTCATACAATTCGAAATTAATATACATATCGGATAAGAATTATACCTGAATCCATTTTGCAGCGGAATGACTTTGAAGAATAATTCGGTAAATCGGTTTTTCTCTCCTTTCACCCTTACTTTGATAATTTTTCTGATGGATGAAAAATGTGAACAAGATCATATATTTATAGGGTAAGAAGAGATGGATTACCATGCATACCAATGGACATTCAAACTTAATTAGCTCATATCCATCAATGAGTTCAAACTAATATGAAGTCCAAAACCCAAAATTCCATGGGTCAATTTTATATTTCCAACACATTAGATCGTATCTTCGCTTATTTTACACCCCACGAACATACCAACAAAATATAAAAATTTGAAAAATGATATATTTTATTGATAATAAAAATAAGACGAGAGTTTTATATTTTTAAAATAAATAAATTAAATATAATAATAAATATTTTTAAATATATATTTTCCGTATTTGATAAGATTTCCATTATGCGATATATCTCGTACTATTTTTTTAAAATCCGGTGTATCATAACATCCTCTTTCAAGTTGGAATATAGAGATCACAAAATGTCAAACTTGCAGTAAAGATGATCAAACGCATGCCACTAGAATCACATCACCTTGGAATTTGTGTCAATAGAAGTCATAAAAAAAATCAAACGAACAACTGCTTGCAAATTTAACAACACACATAAAAAAAATCGTTCGATGATAACAAAGAAAGATGACAATCGCAATGCGAAAAAAGAGTCTCAAGAATAACTCTAATTCATTCGAGATTGAAAGACAACTACGAGAAACGACAATTTTTTGCAAGCATAAGATGATGTAATACCCCGAAACACGAACCGAATATTTAATTACTTTCGGGAATATATAATTAATTGGACAAATCGTGTTATCATAAAAAATGGCTTGTATAGTGTCGGAAAAAGGCATGAGGATCGTCAAGTACTAAAAAATGGGGAAAACGAAGAAGAAACAAGAATACAGGTCCGGTCCGGGTCAGACCAACCATGGTTCAAGCGGACCAAGGAGCGGATCGAAATGCAGAAGAGGAGAAAAGTCCATCCAGATCGACCGGTCTAGATGCAGACCGACCGGTCTAGGACGGCGGTCCGAGTCGGACCAACAGTGCTCCGAGCGGACCAAGACGCGTGAATAAAATGGATTTTCGGCATCAGAACGACCGATCCAGAGCCAGACCGACCGGTCTGACGATCAGAGGACGCAACGGGTCGATTTACCACATTGGTTCGCGTTTTTCTCTGCGATTCCGGATTCTACCAGAGTCAACTCACCGCCCAATCGCATCAGGGCATTGGAGGCTCGACCTTGGGCCTGGGCTTGAGCCCATTTGCTCCTTCTCACGCGGGATAAACACCGTCCAAGCCAGGGACTTAGCCATTTCTGGCTAAGTGTTGCATAAAAGAGAAAAGAGAGAGAGAAGGAGAGAGAAGGCGAAAAAAAGGAAGAAAGAGGAAGAGAGGGGCTCGAGGACACAAAGGGGAGCATCCCTAGAGTGTCTAGAAGAAGTTTCGGGCAAGAAAGAGCTCAGAAAACGGTCATAAATCTGGCCAAAACCAGATCTGAGTCGAAACAGAGGTGAATGACTTGAGTTGGATATGTATGAGCTTGTTCTCAACGTGTGATTATGTTTTTTTGATGATTTAATGCTTGATTTAAACTGAGAACATATCAAGGAATGTTTAGAAACAAGTTTGGGTCGATTTGATTGAGAAACGAGTGAAAACGAACCAAGAAAAGTCAGAGCAGAACTTGATTTCGCGAGGAAGACAAGATCTAGGCCTCCGATCGACTGGTCTGGACCTGGGAGGACCTCAGACCGACCGGTCTGACAACGGACCGATCGGTCTAGACTTGCAATTACAGAAACATCGAAATGGACGTCTGGACCGACCGGTTCAGGGGACATATATAATCCATTCTTCGACAAGTTTCCAATTAATCACGCGTGGTGAGATATGCGATTCAACGATGAGAGAGGCTCGTTGCCTGATTATTTTGAGTAGCTTGCATGGCATGTATAACTGTAGATCAGTAGGGACCGAATATCGTGACATGCGTGATTGTACCAGGGATATATATATGCACGATGTGTGTCATATTTGTAACTTGCTCGTGCGACGCGAGCGAAGCATGATTGTGTTTGTATATGGTTGCGTGAGGCGACCATCATCGTCACGCGAAGTGACGGGCGCGAGACGCATATAGTCACGTAAGGTGACAATCACTGTCGTGTGAGGTGTCGACCAACGTCTCGAGAGGTGACAAACATGTGAGGCGCTCCTACTCATGTGGGTGACTAGGGTTTATGGCTAACTCTATGATGCAACGTCATACGAGTATGATTGTGATTGATGTGATTGTGACTGGTGTGATGTGATTATGCATGGTTATTATTGCTTTCATGTTTATTGTGAATCATCGGTTAACACCATTCTCGCTGAGAACGAGGTTACCGGGTTCAACCCGGGCTACTCACTAAGCAGTTGTGCTTAGCCCTCGCGGTTTTATTTTTTTAGATCACGAGGAGTACGTATAGCACATCAGGACAACGATGACTTGAGAGATGCAACATCATGTACGGGGTTTGTATTTTGGACTATGGGACTTGTATTCCCCTTTTTGTACGGTTGTACCATTAACTATTCGAACATATGTTGTTTGCGACGCTGGTTGCATGATGTATTTCCTTTACTTACTCTATTAAAAAAAATATTTTTGGATTTCGTATTTTCGCTTCTGTATTATTTTATTATCGGTATTTGTCCATGTTGCACAACATGTACACTGTATACGGATAATTTGCGATTATGCGAATAATCTTTTAAAATATGCGGGATTATGAAAAAAAATAAAAAATAAAAAAATAAAAAAAATGACTCTCTTATTCTTAATAAAAATTTTAAAACGATATTACCATTGGATTCGATCTATTATCTTCTTCGTTTTCATCTTTACTCTCATTGTCAATCAACATTGTTTATGAAGAAGAAAAAAAACTAGAAAAAGAACCAGACTCTAATAATATATAGAAATTTACGGAATGATATATTTATAATTAAAATAAAATATAAATATATATGAGAGTCTTATATTAAATAAATAAATTAAATATAATAATCAATATTTTTAAATATATATTTTCCGAATTTGATAAGATATCCGTTATACGATATAACTCGTAATACTCTTCAAGATATGGTATATCTCAGCACAAAATACTTAGTTTGTATCATCATCATTATCATCATCATCATCAAACCCATAGAATAAGCTTAATATTTTATATATAAAATATTATTATTATATTAAGTTTTTTATAACCGAATATTTTTTACTAATTTCGGGATTAGAGGTCGATCATGTGATTTAAAATATATATTTCCTCTCCAAACTTGAGATTCAAGTCGAAAATCCCGTTTCATTGGTTGAACTACCCAATTTGATAATTATTATATTAAGTTAACTGACACTTTTTATAAATAGAGGTTCTATCACTAAACATATCAAAATCGTCAAAAATTTATATTAATGTACAGTTCAAAATCATAAAAGATTTTATATCAACCATATAAATTTAATCATTCTCAAAACAAATTATATACAATATTAACAATATCATTTTTATTATTTTTTTTGAATAAGATTTTTCATAGATCGAATAAAAAAATATAGAAATCGAAGATACTCATAATTCTTTATATTATTTTTTATGAATTAAACAAATAATTATATCATTTTTAAGTATATTTATGTAAAAATTTTATAATAAAATTATAAATTAAAAAAGAATAAACCGCACAACACACTATTTTCACCAAGTAAAAAAATAATTTTAAAATATTTTTAAAAAATTATC